TTCCCAACTCATCGACGGATCTCTGCAACCGCGAAACATCACGCTGCAGAGAGGCAGACTCGTTGGTCAACGCGTCGTGTCGTGTCTGGAGCAGGCTCTTCTCGTCAATCCGCGCTTGAAGTTCTTTCCTCAGCTCTTCCACCTTCGTAACGAGAGAATGGTGCTCTTGTTCAGAGAGGTCCTTGCTTTGCCGTGTCTCCTGGATGGATGATTTGAGGCTGCGGTTTTCAGTCATTGCCTGAGAAAACTCCTTCTCCAGTGTTGCGTATCTCTCATCAGCTTGCTCCAGCTCCTTCTGCAGGCGGGTGAGTCGTTCTTCTTTTTGACGACTGAACCCCTTGGTGACGACTGATTTGTTGGCCATCTCCTCCTGCAGCTCTTGCAAATCGCTCTCTGCCCTCTTCTTGTTCGAAATGGCGTCGTCAGCCTTGTCTTGGATCTCGTCGACTTGAGCCTCTAACCGTCGGATGCTGGCCTCGAGGTCTTGAATGGTGTCTCTGGCGTCCTCCAACTCGTCGTTAGCCGACGAACCGGCCTCGGCCTTTCGTTCGAGCTCGAGAATTTTTTGCTGAGCCTGCTTGGACTCGTCCTCGGCCTTTTGCTCGAGTTCGGTGATTCTTCGCAGCGCTTGCCGGGATTGCGTTTCGGCCTCCTGCTCCATCTCGATCATTCTCCGTTGTGCGTGCTTGAACTGGGCCTCCATTTCTTGCAGTTTGCTTTCGAGATCTTTGAGTTGCTCGTCGTGTTCTCCAGCAGCATTTGTGTCTGCCCTCTTAAGCCTGGCTTTGTAATCCTCAATCTCGTCTTCGCGTTCACCCAGGACTTCGTCCTTCTCGTTCAGCTTGGCTTGGAGATCATCAACCTGGTCTTCGTGTTCGCCAATGAGGCGATCCTTTTCGCGCAAGTCTGCTTCCAGGTCTCCGATTTCGTCTCTCAGCTTCTCGACCTCTGCCGAATCTCCCTTTTCTTGTTGCACTTGGCGCTGCAGATACTCTATATCTGATTCCTTCTCCTCCAGTGACTGTTGGAGACGGTCAATCTCAGCCAACTGCTTTTCGTCGGCATACTTCTTCTTGCCTTCTCCTGCAGCTGGAGCATCTGTTGACGGTAGCTCTCGAGATCCTTTTCGGCCCGTCGTCAGGTGCTTCTTGTACTTTCTGCAGGTCGCGTTGCATCGTGACCCTGTCGACCTTGAGCTCCGTGTTCT